GCTCTTGAAAGACAGAAGTCGAGCAGCATAAAATGACGTTATATTCGGCAAAGCACAGGAGCATTCGGGGATTTACAATAACTGGCTCTTTTGTAATATGTTTTACTAACAGGGAGGAATTTTGCATATGTTGAGCCACCTAGGAGAGTTAAAGAAATACTTGAAGAAGAGCTTTATTTTTGGAAAGAAGCGTGCCGGGTTAAACATCCAGCTGCAGGTAATCCTCCTTGTCGGCACATGGCAAGTGTTCGTCAGGGCAAACGAAATATACATTGTTGTGAGGAACGGTGGCAAAATTATTATTTAAAAAAAAAACCAAAAAGCCCAGAACATTTATGTAATAGCCTGGGGAACATGTAGAAACAGAAGAATTGCATATAGTATTACTACTTTTTTTTTTTTTTTCTTGAGTCTGCAATGCTGGGACCATAGACAACATGGGTAATTCCATAGGATCTCTCAATTCAATAAAGCAAAACCAAATGCCAAGCAGTAGGGAAGCTTTGTTACCTATTTATTTGAAAGAAGTGGTGTAGTTATTAGAATGCTTCATCCCTTTCTGCTGTTCAAAACTGAAGTTGGTGTTGTAATGGATGAGTTGAGGTAAGAATGATAAAGGTAACTAAAGAACAGGAAAACTGTGAAAGCAATTAGAAAATCAGTCTTTTTAGGCAGCTTAAAAGTTATGGAGAGACTTGATTATAGTAGGCAAATGAGGAACTGGGAACAAGGTGTTTGGTCTAGCTAAACTATTAACAGTTCTGAGAACTGCTGGTAAAAATGAGGTAAGATCAGAGTAGAAATAATTAGTGTTTTTTAACAAAAAGAACTTAATGCTGGAACAATTTCACAAAGATCACTTAGATTCACCATTTTTCATACACACTTTAAATATTTGCACTTAAACCGTTAGCCCTGGTCCAAGCTCATTTGCCTTGGTGCAGGAATGAGCCTGAAGCCATGGGACATAAGACAAAACTTACATCATGCTGGTGGTCTCCTGCAGCCGTAAGATCTATTAATCTAACTGTAGAAAATTAATTTTGAGAAGTTTGTGGTGTTTAAGGATAGGTCATTGTATCTGGCTGACTACAAGGTCTTACTGCCTTCATTAGCCAAGCTGTTGTACTTTATTAGGTACCTCTCTGTAGTGTCCACTGAGTAAAGCTGGTTATTCCACAGCTTCCCTCATTAGTTTGTTCTAACAGCTGGTGTATTAAAAAAAGAAAAAGCCTGATTAATAATTTGGATTTGCATGATTCAGCTCTTTGCTTTTCTTGCATATATAACAGTGCCTTTTTTAGTACCCAGGATTTTCTTTCAGAGAAGATACATATATGTATGTTTGGGTTTGGCTCTTTATGTACTCTCACCAATTGTTTTGCCTCCTCTTTTAAAATATGAATACCAAACCTGATCATGGTATTTCAGTATTTGTATCACTAGTAGCCTGTAGAGAGAGAGATTCATCTACTTATTTTAGATCTAACGTTAGCACTAGGACCTTGAACTGTTTGTTTACTGTTGCTCCTAAATCCATGCTGCTTTTGCGCCACAATACACAGTTTCTGTTCTGTAGCCCCACGTTCTCATTTGTAGAGTAAAGCTACTCCTTGGTTATGATAAGCTGCATTTTTCTGCAATAAGCCCACCACTATGTCTCCTAATTACTACATCCTCCACAAATGTAATAAGGGCGTTTTTGTGTTTGTTTACAGATTTGGAAAATTTTGAAAAAAGTCTGGTTTCTCTTATGTAGGATTGAGACCCTAGTCTAAACTCACTCAAAATGAATTTAAAATAGTTGGATTCACAGACAAAAATGTACGTTAAGTTAGGAGATGTAATCGGCATTCTGTCAGATGTAAAGAGCATTTGAACCTGCAACTCCATTACTGTGATTAGGCTCCTTAGGCAATTACAGCACACACCTGCAAATGAGTGACTTAGGTAGGTTCTGTTTATAGTAAATGGAGAGAAAAAGGCACTTTGAAAAGGCAATTCTCCTGACTTGTCCTAGGTACCTACCATCACATGTGTCATGCTCTAAAAGTGCCTGTTCTTTTCCCATTGACTGTAAAGGGGTTCTGGACAAGTAGCTGAATTGCAGATGTTAACCTTGGTCTGCTCAATCTGCTCATGTGTCTAATGTTATTAAGAGCTGAACACAACTGTATTTCACTGCATCCATCTGCCAATGGATCAAAATTGGATGGAATATTTCAGTCTGATTGTATAAATGGATGCTACCATGTATGTTCTGACGAGTCCCCCAATGAAATTTATGTTACAAGGGCTTAGAGTACTAAAGATAATATAGAAACACTACAAAAATACTAATTTTGGAATGCATAATATGGATGTATAACAAGCTCGGTACGTAAATGGTATGTATAGCATAGTGCTATATGCATAGCATAACAATGCTATGTATAATAAGATCAAATAGATGCTGGTGTACAGATTATTTAGCAAGTGCCTAGTTCCTTTTTCATCTGCATACATCTGGAGGATTAGAGATCCTCCCTAAGTGGCCTGGGCTCTGATAAACAATGGTTGTCAGGTTGGATGGCTACTGTTTTACAGTTTAGATCATTAGTAAGTGTACTGTTTTACATAAATTAGATGGTTAGTAAATTGTAACCTTTCCACAAAATAAATTAGCTGCCTTGTTTTGTTTTGGTGGTGTTGGTTTTGGTTTGGACTTTTGTTGGGTTTGGGGTTTTTTTGGGGGGGGGAGGGGAGGAATGTTGTTGTTCTGTTACCTTTTTATGAGGGCATTTGGTATTCCAGTATAACGGACAAATCATGCTGGATGCATTGATGGTATTACTGCTGTTTCTTATACGCTATAGATGAGCTGCATCCTGCTTCAGCTAGGAGCCTGGTAGTCCTAAGCTGTTCCACAGACAGTAGAGCACGTTGTATACCTGTAGCAATCTGAATTGCTCTCTGAAGATGTCAATCTCTTTTCACTGACTTTGGAGAAAGATTATAGTGTTCTGCTTAACTACTTCTAATTACTGTCTAGTCTAAAGCGACTGTCTTTTAAAAGTTACATTAATTCTAGAACAAGTTGAAGTAATCGGTTATAATGGTATTATTTTGACAAATTATTAACAGTGGCTCTGGAAGGAATTTGGAGCGTGAAAAAGTGTGTCTCCCTTGGAAGCCTGAAACCAGTGTCACAGAACAGAAATGGTTTACTTTTACAGCCTCAATTCTACTCAAGGCATGCAGGAAAGAAAAGTAAGAGTCAATAATAAGAAACTTTAATTATAATGCTTAATTTTAAAATTGCAGAGTATTATTATTTATAATTCATAGTTGTCTCACAGGACTGCAGATTATGTATATGGTCTTATAGTAATCACCTCTGGGCATCTTTCTGCAGAGCTAACTCACCTCTTCCTTTAGTAAGACATCAACAGACTTGAAATCTTTGCATAAGAAACCTGTTTAGGACTGCTGTGTTGAATCACCTTATTTCATATTCTGAAACCTTTTGTAGCTGCACGGAATAACCACTTGCTCCCTTCTGATAGGTGTTCCCTTCTGGGTTTGTGTTAGGTAATGAACCTTCCTTGCCTTTCTTAACATCCAACCTTTACAAATTCATATGTTTGGAAAAGCCCTCCTCCAACACACCTCCTGAAAAGAGCTTGAGCTAGGTATCATTTCAGGCATTTTAGCATTTGCCTGCAATGGTCAGCTGGTGCTCTGGAGCACGTATTTCTTCACAGTCTGTGGAGTGTGGCTTTTGTGGAGCAGACCCATTCCTTATGAGCTGGTGGATTTTAGCACAGTCTTCTCAATGTGCCTGCCTTCTCTCTTTCAGTGAAATGTATTAACTTTGTAGTGGAAGGTGAAGGCTTCTAACCATAAGGAAAGAAAGTTCATTAGCTTTGTAAGAGGAGTATTGTTAGTGCCATGAGCTTGCAGGATATATGAACTCAGCATATTTTGCCATTAAATGAAGCTCCTTCCCACATTCTCAGGGGCTAGTGGTTTATTTAAAATACAGCTAGCTGCATGACTAGCACCTCTTTCTTCCTATTGTGATCTTGTGAGCTCTGGAGATAGCAGCGTCTTAATTTACAACAGCACCATGAATTAAGTTACTGCTAGTTTAAGAAGCGTTTAACCAGTACAGCCTGCTGCCATGCTGTCTTTACTCTAGTTACTACTTGTAGGAATATTTTGGTTACAGAACAGGCCTGATCTATGCCAGGTATTAACTGCAGTCACTTCTGGTAATGTACTTAAACCAACAAAATTTTAGCCACACCATAGAAAATACAACCAAAGAATGCCTCAGTTTGGAGACGTTGGCTGAACTCATGTACCTGAGGCTTCTAGCAAAAAGCACACAGAGTTTTCAAAGATCCTGATCTCCTCCATTTCCTGTTAAAATCCATGAAGAAAGAAGATCTTTAAAACAAAGCAGTTTATTCAAATTGATTTAGGTGCTGGGATCCGTTGGCTTTCCTTTGGGAATTCAATGTACCTTCATTCACGGGTCGCTAGATACAAGTACTGCCCTCCTCACTGGCTATACTGCCTATTTTGCAGTGGGACAGGCAGGTGGCATGAGAGAACGGGTGGCAGAAAAGATAGAAGACAGGAGGAAAAACTGGAAGCAATCTGGCTTCAGCTCCTATACTCACCAAACCATTTCCATTCACACGCCCCCTTCTGTGTAAGGATCTGGGGAAGAAATGAGGTGGTAATACACTAATGGGGAGATGGAGTAGGTACAGGCTATGGAAATGGACTAAAAAAGAGAGGTTTCTAGAGAGAAGATGAGCCTACTGTGTTTAGTGACAGAAGGAAAGGCACCCGCAAAAGGAAAAGGAAGGAGCACAGACAAGGGCAATAAAGAGGAGACTTAGAACAGAAGTTTGGGAATTCCTGAAGAGAACTGGAGAGAGGAGAACACAGTTCAGCAACGCAGAGATAGAAACTGTAAGAAATGAAGGGAAAAGATGTAGCAGAAATAAGTAGAAGAGAGAAGAAAAAAATATATGCCCATGTTGCTGAATTTACTGAAGTGAATGCATTTATTTTTGCTTCTCCCTTTTACTGCCTTTCCATAAAAGTGACTAGTGGTTTGGGGGGCTCACTATGCGGTGCCTCACCTGGCCTTAGCACGGATCTTGTTTTTTTACAGATTGCTGAACTTTAGTGCTGTGAAGACCTGAGCCTGTTTTGATGTGTCAAATCAAACATCAGAATGACTAGCTGCCTTTGGAAATGTAGCTCTGTATTTCTAAGATTTTGAAGAAAGTTCTGCTTGGATAGGAAGCTTTGTTTGTTTGTCGTTGCTTTATTCATATCCTCATGCTGCTTTTTCATCTGATGTAGGAGCCAAATCTGATCCATATTTCAGCCAGTGATGAAGATGTCATAATCCAAAGATTACAAAACGTTCTTGCTGACAAAGACATGCTACATGACAAACCTGAAATTTTCATAGGCTTCTCTGTTGAAAAGTGATTCTAAGTTCCAGCAGAAGATTGTCATGTAATTGAAGACGTGCCTTGAAATGCCTTAGGCCAAGTCCATACGTTAGATTGAGCAGTTCAGAAGGCAAGAGTTTGTGATTTGATATCTAGCCTGATTTAATAAATGTTTAACATAAATAAGCCACTCTCTCTCTGTCTCTATATATGTAAGAGTTATCATAGTGTTAAAGAACCACAGAGGCAGCGTGGAACCTGGAATAACCTGTGACTTAACTCTCTTCACCATTACTACCTGAGGTAATACCGAATGATCATTAATTTTGTATTATCACACCACTTACGAAACAGCTGTGGATCCTTCTAGGTACTGTATAAAACCGGAACAAAAGACAGCTTTGAAAGGTCATGAGCCAGAACCATGCAGGAGGAAGCAGAGTGATGGTAGCTGGAGACTCCCTGCTGAGGGGGATGGAAGCCCCCATTTGCTGCCCCAGCATGCTGCCTGGGAAGGTCTGTCAGGGGGCTGAGATCTGGGGTGATGCGGGGGGTGTGCTGAGTCTTCTCTGGGCCTCAGACTTTTACTCCCTGCTACTCTTCCATGTGGTCACCAATGATACTGCCGGGGAGGCGTGGAGCGTGTTGAGTGCGACTGCATTGCTGTAGGGCAAGTCAAGGACACAGGTGCCCTGGTGGTTTCTCCTCAATCCTACTGGTGAGGGGGTAGGGCTTGAGGAATGGATGGATCCTGTAGGTCAACCACTGTTTGCACAGCTGGTGCTGAAAATGGGGAGTTGGCTTTTATGACTATGGGATGCCCCCTCTTTGAGGACTAAGAACTGTTAGGAAGAGATGAGATTCACTTCAACAAGTGGGGCAGAAGCTGTGTTTGTACCTTATCTAGAAGGATCCACGATTGTTTCCTAAGTGCCTGTGACAGCACAAGAAATAGGAGTGATCATTTGCCTGGCCAACCTGGGGAGGAGAACTTAAGTAGGAGTGACAGGGGAGGGAGATGACAGCCCACGATCAAGTGAGGAGGTGGTGGACCAGGTTGGTAGGCATGATATTTCCCATCTTCATGTTTGACAGTCTAACTTCATGATTACTCTTTGCCGTATTTCTAGAATAATTGTAGCACATTCTTTTCCAGGTTACTAATACTTAGCACTTACCCTATAGTTTTCACTGCCAGAATTCTTCCCAGACATCCCTCCAGCACATTTGTGGGATAAACAAGCGTTACAGTCTTTTTAAAGGAGGGAACTTACTGTACAGTGAAAGAAATTTAACTAGGACTGATGGATAATTTAAAATCAGAGTGGAAGAGTTCCTTATTCCCAGTGCTAACTCAGACTGATGATTCACATCTTTCCTAAGGGGTGATCCCAAGGGTGGAGATGGGATTTGTTCCTGGGGGTCTGAGATCCTAAGGAAGTATTTAAACTGCACTGAATACTGCTAAAAAGGAAGAGTCTAAGTGACAACTTTGTGAAGCTGCACTTTGTTTTCCTTTGCTTTTTTTTTTTACAATTATTTGTGAATGAAATGGGATGTTTGTTTTTTGATTGTCTGTACTCTTCTCTGACACTGAAAGTTTGTTTTTATTTTTATATCAGTGAGAAGGCGGTGGGGGGGAAATCCTTAGCTCCAAGCCAACACTTTTCAGCATTTCCTTTTGACTTCTAAATGATAAAAATTATTGGCACTGAAAATTGCGCCTGAGGCAGTGGAGGAGTAGCTGCTTTTGAAAACGTTATTCTCACTTTTTAGATGCAAATTTGATCATGAACCACATAATAATGTTTGAAAAACAGTGGGTTTTCAGATAGAGGCTTTGATTAAGCTTGGTGCATTTCACTTCTGCTCCCTGCTTCATTCTTATTCTATTTCCCTCCCCCTGCTTTCTCATTCTTAGTCTTTTTTTTTTTCATGATCTTGTTTTAAAATTTTCCAAATTAAATTACTTTCTGGGTCTATCCTGGATTGCTGCACTAGCTCAGATTTGCTGCCACAAAGGCAGATTTGTCAATCTCATTTGTGCCTTTGCTCCCTCTTCCTCCCCTCCCTCTTCCATGGAGAAATGTCTTTTAGATCTTTTCTACTGAACATTTTGTTTCAGTTACGAGGCTTGGGTAATTCTTAGCTAGTCCGATATATTCATGTTCATGACCTTTTTGTGTGTCTCATCTTTCATTTGTATAAAACTAAGCAATTTGTTTAAATATAATAACACTGCATAATATTGCAGTGATGGTGGTAATATTACTGTGTTTATAATATATTTATAACATTTTATTAAACAGGGTTTGGGGTTATTTAAATTAACTGTGCTCACATTTGAACATAGTGATTTTTTACCATCTAACTGTTCAGCTACCCTTTTCTCTTAGCTTTTTAATATTATTTCATTTCCAAACTGAACGCTGCTGTTTTGAAAGACAAATGTTATCATTGCTTCCATGTATTAATAACAGTGTTCAAACACTGACATCTTTCGAAGCCTACATCTGCATTATCCGGCAATGAAGTGCAATAGGAGGGGGCCAAGTTATTAAAACAGTTGGTGTTGAGAGCCCCATAACAAGACTATCTGTGGTTTAGGAGATTTACTTCAAACTAGAGCTAGTCTTACCTCCTGGACTGAAATGTCACCTCAATGCTTGAGGTTCAGAGATGTTTGAAGAAAAGCTCTACCACAAACCCTCACCCTCCAGCCTGCGGGATGCTCACTGGGTAAAATCAGAGCTGGTTGCACACCACTGCCCCTGCCGCTGCTGCTGGGTGAGATGCAGTCCAATGCTTCAGAAACCAGGGCAGATTGAAATCCGTGATAGCTGCTAACAAATATCCGCAGAGCCAAATTCAAACTTGCTGGTACACACACACACGCATCAAAGTATCTGAGGATTACGTGGTTTTGGCAGGAAAGTTTTCTGCTCTGATTTTGGCTCTGGTCTACACCGGTGAACAACAAAGATGTGTGCTGCAAAGGAAGGTCGAAGACCACTCTGGGACAGGATCCTCCATCCACAGTGTGCACAGCACATTTGTTCATGCCTGTGCCTTGACCTGGAAATGTCAACTTTACATAGTTTTAATCCAACCCTGCTCACAGTCACAGTGGAACTGCAGCCAGGCAGAATTATTTGAAAACCACATTTGCTGCATGTGCAACGACGTGAGCTTGTCTGTCCAGAAGTTGTTCATCCAACAGGCAGGCATCAACTTTCAACTGAATCTTTTATCTCTGGTTATATTTCAGAATTTTAAACTTCCAAGCAGAAACATCGTAATCCTGACTATGAAGCACTAGGTAATCAAATTACAGGCATTTAAACTTTACGCTAAAATACAGTGTGCATTTATACAGACCAGAACTTTTATCACTCTTTTTCATACAGGCTGTAGGTTCTT